GGGTCCCCGCGGGAGCGGCTCCGCGCTGGGCTTCCGCGTCCGCCCGTCCTCGCCGCCCAGCAGCGCCGCTCGCCCAGGCGGGATTTCCAGCCTCAGCCTCGGCAGAAAGGCATGGACAGCAGTAAAGAAGAAATACCCGCTGGTCTGGGAAATCAGCCTGACCAGCTCTCGAGGAGAAATACGGACTGGTTCAAATAAACGTGCGCCCGGCTTCAGGTGAGCGAACAGCAGAAGAGCCCGACCCCCAGGAGGGGCCCGCGTCCTCGCCGCAGGTGGCCGCTGCAGAGGCCCCCGCGCCGCGCGCCCTTGTCCGCGCGCCCCGGGTCGCGCGGCTCCTTCTTGACACCTGTTTCATTTCCTTATTACTCCTGCTCTCCAACGAGAGCCTCACGTCATCTCCCTCTCTCCCTGGCCATATGTGTAATGTACGTAAATATGTACAGTCGTAACAAAATAGATATGGTGGAGAGGACAGTTGCCAGCGCTGTCTGAAGTCTGGTCCCGGAAGCTGTCCAAAGACGGCTGGAGTAACTAGATGTACGCGGAATGCGTTTCTCCCCCAGGTTCCCGCCGGCTGTGCCTCTGCAGTGACTTCTTTCAGAGTCTAAGTTGCTTTGCAAGAGACAGAAACCAGAGCCCACCATAAAAAGGAGACGCCCTGCTGGTAACAAAAAAGGGGATCAGATGTAAAAGGGTTACTGAGTCGGGTAGGTAGTTAGAGAAATCTCTGGGGAACAACCACTATTTAGGTGGTGGAGAGGACTCGCAATTTTATTCTATCACCAAGTTATTCGTAAACTGGAGAATTGTCGATCTGAACGGACACTTGAAATGAAGCCGCAATGGAAAAAAATCTTATTCAAAGATTTAAGATTAAAGATTAAAATCTTAGCTGCTGTCATATAGTTAAAGGAAGGAGCATGTTCGTGGACTTCAACAAATGCATGTAATTTAACATTAAAACTAAATGCAATACCTTTGGTGTAAAGTTTTATAACTGTGCAATGAGAAAAGAGTGCTCTTCAAAGATTGACTTGGACTATATTTTATTTTTCACTTTTTAAAAAAATGGTAGGGAAAATACATGAGCATAAAGACAAAACACTAAACAAGATTGTAAGGGTAAATTTTAAAATAGAACTCATGGTTTTGGAAAACGTAATAATTTCAGCTAGAATTTTAATGCCTTTACACTGCTCAATTAAAATGGCTGTATTTAAAATGTCTATGTCTCCTTTTAAAGTTTAACAAAAGTTTATAAACTTGAATTTATGGAAACCTTTGAAGGTAGCGCCATGGCATAACCTTGAATAATTAAAAAGTCTCTAGAAATGCAAGATCATGGAATCCTACTTAAACTTTATAAGACATGAGGAACTAGCTCTTTCACAAAGCTACCCTTTCACTGGGGGACAAATGTCTCATTATTAGAAAGATATTTCTCATCTTAGTTGATGTTTTCTTCTCTTCCACTCACTTGTACTAGGTTAGGCTTCTGGAGCCATATGAACAGACCTAATCCTTTTTCCACATGACAGCCTTGTAGGTATTTGCAGGGAGCTATGACCCTTCTTTCAAGGTTTTATCCTAGCTTTAAACTATGAAATTACAAGCAATTGGAGCAGATCCTTTATTGTAGTATGGAACCCAAAATATTTATTTCTAGAAAAGGTACCCTTCATTATAACTTTAAGGCATATCAAGAACTTGAAAATATATCTGGCAAAATGTAGGCATTCAGTAAACATTGGGTTAGATCAATTAACCTGTTTCAGTGGCAGCTGAAAACATCTGACTTATTTATGGCACAAATAAAAGTAGATTACATCTAAAAGAAAATAATTTCAAGATAGGAAAAATGTAATAAAAATTAAAAATTTTATCCAAACTAGGTAATACTTAGTAGAATTTTTCTTATGTACTAGACAGCAAATCAAGGGCTTTACATGTATAACCACATGTAATCTTCATAACAGTAGTAGAATTCACAATATTTATTTTAAAGCCATTATAGGTAATGTCTGTGCCAGAAAATTTGAGTTATATACTACAGATGATTCTGTTCTATGATCTAATCCTGACTCTTAGCCCAAATCCGTGGCATAGCCTTGGATAATTAACATCTCAGAATCACAAGGTTGTTATAAGGACAAAAGGGAAAGAATGTATTAAAAATACATTAAAAAGTTTAAAGTTGTATATGAACAAATATTATTATATGATTGCTGATTCAATAGCTAAAAACTAAAGTATTTTCATTAGGCAGGTTATTTATACAATGCAAAAATTCCACTGTGATAGACTGAATATACAAATGCACGCTGGTGATCGAACTCTGACCAAAATATCCTGTGGCAATCAGCTCAGGAAGCTAATGTATAACCTTAGCAACAGTCAGTCCAGTATTTCGGACTACAACTTTGGCAGGAAGTGGTGCAGCATGTTAGGATTTGGTCAGTGAATTAGCTTTCCTAATTTTTGCCCCTGCTTTCAACAAGGATCAATCAGAAGAAGCAAGGTATGTTCCCCAAATCATAAAGTGTTCTGTTTCTAGTTGTCCCACTTGCAGCTTCCCCATACCAAGATTCAGAGTCTATCGGACCTCTCCCACCCCGATTCTAGGGATTGAATCCAAAGCTTCACATTGAGCTCCATCCCAGCTCTGATGTATGTTTGTATATATGTATTCATTTGTTGACAGGGTCTTGATAAATTGACCAGGCTGACCATGAACTTGTGAACCTCCTGCCCTAGTCTTCCAAGTCACTGGCATTATAGGTGTTAGCCACTGTACTTGCCCTTTCTTTCACAATAAACCTTTGTCACTTTCTGGGCTGACTTTGAGTCTTTGTCAGTGTTTGTGTTTGATGAGTCTCTTGCTCCTGCAAGTTCTGGATAGCATTTGTTTTCATTTGTGCAATCTTCATTTATTTCTATAATGTTCCTGAGTGTTCCACAGGGACACTGTATGCACTGTCACTGTAGACTGCAGTCATCTACCAGCTATGTGCTCACCAAGGACACTTGGCCCTTACTGCAGACAGCTTGTTGAGTCCATATTGACCTATGGTTGGTCAACACTACGGCTGAACTCTGCTCTTTCTTTCGAGTTCTTTGGCTATCTAGTCTCACTGCCATTGTTTGTTGTCTTGGTTACTTTTCTGTTATTGCTGAGAGAAAATACCTGACTCTCCAAATTAAGGAAGGAAAGCTTTACTTAGCTCACAGTTTGTGGAAGTTTCAGTCCTTAATCAGCTGGTTTCAAGGCAGGGTGGTATGGTGAGGGGCAACAGCTCAAGGCGGCAGGAGACAGCAAAAGCAACAAGAGCAAGAAGATGTGGCGGGAGGGTGGGGGAAGCAAGTCTCTTCTCCTTTATATTGTATGCTGGCTATCTGCCCATGCCCACACCATCTCTGTGCCCTTCTCATCCTCAAGCTCATGATGTTTATAAAGTGAGGAACCTGGCCTCCTGCCGAATCACTTAGTTAAACTTTTAAACTTCTTAAGTTGACACAGTGAACAAGATCCTAGAAGTAAGGCCGTGTCCTTTACACCCCAGGATGTAGAACTGCTGAATTACTTAGTTAAGCTCCTAGACTTCCAGTTGACACAGTGTATCAACCATAACATTTTTCCTCTGTCCAGAAGAAACAGGTCATTTCTTTTTATGCCTTTTGCTGTCTTCTGCTTCTATTTTGTGTTGTGCTGTCTAAAATTGTTATCAAAGGCAGATACTGTGTTAGTTACGTTCTCATTGCTGGGACAAAATTTCTGACACCCACAAGTTAAAGGAAGAAAGGATTATTTTAGGTCAAGCTTGTAGAGGTTTCAGTCCATAGTCAGCTAAGTCCAAGGCAGGGCAGCATGGCAGAGGAGGAACAGTCCATGGCAGTACAGGCAGGAGGCAGGCAGAAATGAGCCTCCCTTTCCCATTTGTTCCATTCAAGCTACAAGCCTATTGGGCCTTCCCATTGTCCTCACCCAGAACTATGCTAAACGAATCAGTAGACTAATTTAGTTATCATATACCCTTAATCCATATTCACATATCGTAGATCCAGCCATGTCTGAAAGGCTCAGCCTACAGAGGCATGAAATTTGGAGAGGACATCTAGATATATGCCGTAATAGACCCCATAAGCTTTCAGTCTGAGCTGGGCTCACAGATCAGTGTGATTCTCAGTTAACCGGCATTCATTCAGACAAACTTCATTGTAGGTCACCAGTAAAACCAGATATGATCTTCCCTCCATCTAGATTTTTGTCTTGAGAATTTGGCTTTGAGCCACAGAAAGCATTCACTCTGGTGTTACGACTGCTTAGGAGCACAGATTGTCAAGTCTGCATTTTGAGGCAGCTAACCACCAAATTAGGGACTCAAAATGCAGAGCATACAACCTCACTTTTGTCAATGATTTCCAGGTCTCATAAGGTCTTCTGAGTCTGATTATTTTCCTTCTCCAGGAAAAATTCCTTCTTATATGTATATTCTTTGCAATTCAAATCCTTTGCCTGTCTCTCCAAATGGTATAACTTCTCCAAAGATGATTTGGACCTTTCGTGGGCAACCTAGAGAACACTGGACTTGAATGGAATTGTTCAAAAGGCACCTTAAAAAAGAAAAGGAGTATGATTTCTCAGATCTAATGAGTAACATTAGAGGATTGGGAGCATTAGAGTACGCTGGGAGACACAGGACTACATGAAAATCTAATTCACAAATTGCTTCACTAACATATTCTTTTGTTAAGGTTAAAGAACAATTTGGTGAACTTTAAATAATTACAAAATAAAGATATTTGTTAGTAAGCCTTACCCA